AAAAAAAAAAAAACAAAACAAAACAAAAATACAAAAATATATAGCTTTAAGAGGGTTAGGCCTACCCTAAAATTAAGGAACGCTCGACCTCGACACGTGATATCGAAATGGGCGAAATCGCCTCTTGATATCACTAACTCTCCTGACTCCTGATATCGACATTGGTGGTTGCTTGGGACTGCGGTCGCACTGATGAAACATTCACGGAGTTTTTGAGCTCTCAAATGGAGCATTGAGTAACCTGAACTCAACAGCAACTCACCTCAGCGATGTTGAGATCTGCCTTATTTCAACATTGAGTAAATGTTGCAGTCAACATTTACTCAGCACGATGAGTGTCGAAACTTCGATGATCTTACAGCATTGCATCAATGTTGTTGTGCATGCTCGGCACAACTGGCGACACTGGAACGACCATAACCAACACTGGATGCTCGAGACACATGTGCAAACACCTCAAAAGTTGAATTTATGGACTGGAATCGTCGGTGACCTTTTGGTGTGACCATTCTCCACACCTGGCACACCGAATGACCCAAAACACACACCGCCCCTAGAATAGAAAATTCAGCGGAATCAGGACGATCGTGCACCGACCCACTTCGCTCTGAACGTCCGCCGGTGCCTCGACGATGCTTTCCCCAACATGCGGATTGGACGGCGAGGTTACATCCAACGACATCCTCGCTCGCCTCGTTGGATCATGTCGTTACGCCAGAGGCGAATGCGCGTGAGACTTCTTGGGAACGTCTGACTCGCGGTTTGGCGATCGAAGGCGCTCACTTTCAACTCCTCTCGTGAGCGAGCTCAAAGGAAAATAAAGGAAATCCAGTAAAATCGAGGATAGTAAAGGCATTTTGATGACATCAGGAATAATGGACGGCAGAGATCAGTTTATCGCCGTTTTCATTTGGATGCTCCACGAATTGAAGATGTTTTCGGAAATCTGTGACGATTATGTCAGAATTTTCGTAATTCTGATTTTTTATTATAAATTTGGGTCGTTCAATGCAAGACTCTGGAGTATTGGTGCACGTAATATTTCGCCAACTCATGAAGAGCAATCGAACGTCTCCTTCAAAGAGAGAGCTCCGCCTGGATATGCCACCTGTATTCACATCCGGAAAGTATATTTCTCATGAGATGTTGAAGATGTCAGGATATCCGCCATCTTACGCACGAAGGAGACTCTCTGGTAGTGTCTCATTGCCTCGTTTCTGTACAAAGAGATGGTTGCTTCCTGTTTCCACGTGAAGCAGATTAACAGCAGTAAGAAATTTCCAGATTGCACAATAATAATTAAGGAAACACAGGAACTACGCAATCAAGACAAGGGTTAAAGGGTTTAAGAAGGTAAAGGTCGAACCCAGGCAACGCAACCTCTGAGTCTCCACTTCGACCAACTTTTGTCTCCCACGGTTAGAGGTTACTCCCCATTCGGCACAACAACGTTGTATCAACATTGAGAATAGGTTGAAGTTGAGAATTCGACGAAAAATCAACATCAGTGAAATGCTAGCCATTCATAATTAACCGTATTTTCAGCATTTGGTGACTACTCGTGAACTAGGGAAGTCGTTCAGAGGCTATTAGGAGCAAATTTTAAAAAATCGTATTTTCAATGTTGTTTTTACGTGGAGTTATCCACATCATATCAACTAAAATTTGGTTCTATATTAACCGTATTTTCAGCATTTGGTGACTGCTCGTGAACTAGGGAAGTCGTTCAGAGGCTATTAGGAGCAAATAATAAAAAAATCGTATTTTCAATGTTGTTTTTACGTGGAGTTATCCATATCATATCAACTAAAATTTGGTTCTACGAATCGACGCGAGATGGCACATAACCGCCAATTCCGTGATTCTTATCCTGATGCCTTTAAATAACCACTACCCTGCGTTTTTCAGACAGTACCCAACCTTTTCCCATTTACAGCATAGGGGAAGGTATAGGAATTCCTAGATAGACATGTTTAAGGAGGAAAATATTTCATCATATAGACCTCCATTCCTGTTTGCGGACCCATGAGACACGTTGGTTATCGTTCTCGTTCTCATGAGTCTATTTACGGAAATTGATTTAAACTGAATACATTTTGATACGACGTTGTTGTGCCGAATGGGTTCCCTTCACTTATATACAAATAAATGGCTAGGTTCGATTCTGCCAGAAACATTTTCCATTTGCAGCATAGGGGAAGGTATAGGAATTCCTTGATAGACATGTTTAGGAAGGTAATCAGGCAGAAGGAGACCGAAATTACTTCTGGCTAGTGGGTCCGAAAAGACACGCTCAATTTTCCTAAATCTCCACATGGCACGCGCCCTTACTCAGACTCATCCATGATGGATAGAGTATAAAAACCATGCCCGCGAGGTTGTTTCCCTCTACTGGACCGAGAGGTACTTGAGTCATGCAAGTACTCAACGTGAATTCTCATTCAGTAGAGGAAATAAAACTCTGAGGGTCCTTTACGTGGGATGATTGTACTCGATAGAGTACTGCTACTATCATACCTCTTGGGAACCATCTATGGAGCTATCGAGTCCATATTCAATTTCATCCGACAATCAAAGCTCATTCAAACCCTGGAATAGGTTAGTGGGTCCGAAAAGACACGCTCAATTTTCCTAAATCTCCACATGGCACGCGCCCTTACTCAGACTCATCCATGATGGATAGAGTATAAAAACCATGCCCGCGAGGTTGTTTCCCTCTACTGGACCGAGAGGTACTTGAGTCATGCAAGTACTCAATGTGAATTCTCATTCAGTAGAGGAAATAAAACTCTGAGGGTCCTTTACGTGGGATGATTGTACTCGATAGAGTACTGCTACTATCATACCTCTTGGGAACCATCTATGGAGCTATCGAGTCCATATTCAATTTCATCCGACAATCAAAGCTCATTCAAACCCTGGAATAGGGAGGAGGTACTATAATGCCCTTACGTTGAAAATTCAACGTTGACACAACGTCGCACAGCATCGACTTTTCAACGTTGAGCTGTGTTTCATTTCAACATTGTGACAACATCATGGCAACATGTTACGTTGAAAAGTCAACCTTTTCTCAACATTGAGGCAACATTGCCATCAACCTTTCTTCAACGTCGACACAACGTTGTTGTGCTTAGGGAGGAGGTACTATAATGCCCTTACGTTGAAAATTCAACGTTGACACAACGTCGCACAGCATCAACTTTTCAACGTTGAGCTGTGTTTCATTTCAACATTGTGGCAACATCATGGGAACATGTTACGTTGAAAAGTCAACCTTTTCTCAACATTGAGGCAACATTGCCATCAACCTTTTTTCAACATCGACACAACGTTGTTGTGCCGAATGGGATATCAATGAGATCTTGCCTTATTATTAGAGTTGTTGTTCGTCTTACCATACTCTTGAGTTGAGACAAGCATGGGCGGAGTAGGTACACCTTCACCTCTATTGCTTCGTGCTGAAATCCATATGTAGTATTCATTGTTTGGAAGTAGGCCAGTCATGGTGTATTCTTCCAAGACCTCTAGGCTTCTGTTATGGAATTCCTATGCTCCAAAAAATAATTTCTTATTCATCATCTGTTCACCTAAGCATCCTGATACCGTAATAGTTTCTCACAAATTTATTGCAGGGGAGAGTGGGACGAATTGGAAGAGTTAGCACTTTTTCGCCCATGAATCAGTGCCATATGGTCACAATAAAATGTCAATCGATCATCGGTCATCAAGAACCCACGTAGTATGTAGACCATGTGAAATTAGGATAGTTGCGAAAACACCATTCTAACACGTTTTTTTCTTAGCAATATAAATTGTTCTACTATGCTGTGTACGTGGAGGAAAGTGGATCAATAAATGTAAGGTCTTGAACATTGCACTTGAATTCCACTTTTACTGGTGGAGGACCTTTTCATGTACCTTGTCCTTTTAGGAATTGTTCTCTCTGGAGGGAAGGAGTAATAATGCCAGAAATATTCCATTAGATCTAGCGTTCATACATACTACAGAAATAGTGCAGCCAGAATATTAGATTTCCACATCATCCAGTGGCTTAGATTACCCTCAGCTGCAGGAATTAAGCAACTCAACGTTTGGACCTAGATTGTAATACTTGGTCCAAAAAATTGGACATTTTGCCCAAGCCGAGGGCCATATTTCCAAAGGATTTTTTTTGCCCCTACTTGATGTAGTTGTCATGTTTGGCGACACATTAATCTTAACAAGTCCCTTAAAATTTTAATGCATGATTTTTTATTTTTTATTTTTTATTATTTAATGGCGAAAAAAATAGTTACTCACTTCTAAAACACGAAGAAAAGTGGCAAAAATTGTTTTCCTAAAAGTTGTAAGCGGTATGTCCGAAAATGTTTTTGCTGCTCATTTGCTACAAATAGCATTTTTAGCTTTCGAAACGACGTTTCATGGAAGCTAAAGAGCTCAGTCGGTCCGTCAACATTCGTACATACCTCAACGCAAAAGAAAATGTAAAAATACGAATGAGCCTGGACTCTGTATTAGCATTAAGTTGAAGATAATTCCACCAAAGTCAATCTGTCCCACGACGAAGCGAGGCGTTTTTAATTTGCTTGCCACGAGGAGGGTATAGCATCTAGCGATCACATAGTTTGCTATGTATTAATATAAGGACCGGACTGTTGCACATCTGCTACGAACATATTTACCTCCGGAGCTCGTTACCTACACATTGTAAAAATATTTATTTTACATGTAGCATATCTGCTACGTCATGCATTATGCATTATAGGGATAAGAATTCCGAATTTAATCCGATTCTGAGATGATCAGAGTGATGACCATCAGCATACTTGAAGTGGGATGACCCTAATAAACATGATGTATAAAACTTAATAGTTCATTATTTGCTCTTAGCAGATTATCCAGTCTCACCTCAATTTCGACATGAAACCCTTACCGACATTTACCGAGCAAATGGCATATTCTTCATTATTCAGGAAAATCAAGTGTATTAACACAGTGTCAACAAAGAACTATTAAAATTTCAAGATTTCATTACGGCGAGTACAATGATGCTAGAATCATGAAACTTTGTACAATCATCAAGTGATATTGAATGTATTTTTCAATTGCAGGCCTGGTGCAAATGATGAGATCCAGCCGTGAGGAAAATAGGGAAAACCAAGAGTGTTTAGTGGAACGATGCTTCAAAGATGTATGATGTGTGTCGCATAACCAAAGGCAGTCATATTGAACTATAGGCACTGGGGCACTGCTAAAAATGTTAAATATAATCTAACATTTGAACCAAGTTTCATGTTTCCAGCGCTATCGTTCTCGGCGAAAAAACAATTTGAAAAGGGCAAAAGGACACATTTATTGTGTGCTACCATATACCATTTCGTTAACATGGTTAGTTCACACTTTACTGGCTTCCGAATGAGTTTGATAGAGTTGTGCAAAGAGTGGCTGTTTGTCTTCTGAATCGCGGTAATGAGAGATTTTGCTTTTGAATGTTCAAGTAGCAAAAGTACGTCCTCTCCATAAAAAATGCGATCGTGGTTCCTCCATGTAAGCCTTCGATACACATTGGAAGACGCAGGACTGATAGGAACAATATCGATGTTATGGGGATTATGAGAGGTACCACAAAAGCGGCAACCTCTGTTGCAAATCTGTGGCTACTAGAGTGCAACGAACCAAGTGTCACCATTTTTTGCTGTATTTTTGTTAGAAGACAACTCTTCAAGAACCCATGAGTACCATCTACAAATAGGCATATGTATTTCGGCCTCCAGTTAAGTCTAATGATCGCGCGGCCTCGTGTTTGGGAGTATTCTCGCTCTTTCAAATGTTCTGAATCCGATTGGTATAACATTTCTTTCTTCTGCCAAGATCACTCTGTCTAAACACTGCTTACATTTCATTAGAATCAATTACACTATTTTCGAAAGTCCTTCTTTCACCATCAAAATAAGAATCTACAGATGGTAGTTGCCCCTGAAATCGCACATATGGTTGCTCTAAGTAATGAATGCGTGTCCCCTATTTTCGAAAATTGTATCTATTATCATGCCGATGACAATAAGTACCGTCTATGATGGACAAGGCCTAGGCAAGTCATATGGTAAAGAAATTGCTCCCAATCGCAAGTAAATGCCAGTACGAGAAATACGATAGGATCTTACTAGATTTTTGGAAATTTTGATTTGTTGGTTGATTCTCGTAGGAATCCTAGGGGTTCTCACGGGATCCTCGAGGATTCTTATAGGATTCAATACCATTCCCATAGTAATACTATGAGAATCCTATGAATTTTTTTTTTGCTTAAAAAAATATTATAGAATCCTAGAGGATCCCATGCCATATTTTCATATGGGTAGTCGCTTAAATACGATCCTGCATCCTGAACTTTCGTCAATGAAAATGTAATTATGCAAATGGAATGGAGAAGTAATAACTCTCACCCCTGAATATGTGTCATTCCAATAAAATTCGTAACTGATAAGGGGTTCCTGAGCATCTTCTAGGGCGACTGGTGGATCCCATACTAGGCTGATAGAGGTGGTTGTTCGATTCACGACCCGGATGTCGCTCGGCTGGGACGGGACTGTAACAACCCAAAACTCATAGGATTCTAAATCATGACTATCCTTAGAATCCTGATTCCTTGGAATCATACTTAATTTGCATTAAGCAAATGTCCAGGATGCTTTTCAACAGACCCCCTTACAGATAAAACTAGCCGGCACCTGGCAGCCAATGACAGCCCGGGAGGAATGCATGTCACCGCCAAGCAGCATGGCGCAATACACAAGCGAAAACTCCCTCCATTCGTATGACCTTCCTCATATCGTCATATCCATTCCTTTCCTATTTTCCTTCATTTCTTGAGTTTGGCATTGTGTGTTAATGTATAAACAAGGATATTATACATTTGCAGCTGAATTTCCGGGGGAAAGTATGAATATGCCAGTGATTGGTCTAACGTTACACGTCCTCGGCGAGATGTCTCGAGGACCATGGCTTCACCCTTATAGGAATAAATCTGTGGTTGTATGAAAGAAGGTGATGAGTCCACTTTTGACGAAATTGAGCTAACATCATCACTAGGGCCGGATTAACCCATGGGCTATAGCCTCAGGCCCTCATATTTTTTTATCCTACTTAAGCACCCCTCCCTCATATTAGCCGTAGGCCCCTTGTCACCTTAATCCGGCCCTGATCATCACCATATAGAGTGAGTCGTGATCCGTATTTTGGTCAAACGGGATGAGTCAAACTCCTGTTCCTTAGGAAAAAAAAGGGGGTGGGTTGCATAGAAGTCGAACAGTCAGGGTGAATTGGAGAGGAATTTTAAAATCTTCCCCCTGAGAAATTGCGAAAATGGACCTATCGCCTTCTGCCATGCCATTACAGAATTGGACCCTGTAATTCGAAAATTGCGGTTCATTTATAAAGAAAAAAGGTAGCCTTGACGTGACCTGAAGGCAGTTTGTTGATTAGACCTAGGCCTAATGTTAGTGAGTCCCGTAGAGAAGGGGGAGAGGGGGGTTGAGAGAAGAGAAAGCCATTGAAAATTGGTTTTCACATTACTTCATACAACGATAGACCGATTTGGACATACACTGAAGCACGGAGCGAGTTCAAAAAGGGACATGGCTATGGAAATAATGGCATAAGAACTCTGAAGGCAGGGCAGGGCAGACGTTTCCCTGGCTGCAGTCCGCTTTACTGCTCAAGTTCACGTAATCATGATCCGGCCTGTGATTGGCTGCACGATTCCGATGGTTTTGTCTGTAAGGGGGTAGGTAGAAAAGCGTCCAGGAGATATCAGAACCTTGCATCGAGGGAGTGAGTATAAAGATTTCGGACAGATGGAGAAGAGGGATTCCAGAAATGTACTTATAAGGTACAAGAGGTAAAGGAATGAAGATGACAAGTAATATAGGACTCTAAGTAATAAATATTCCCTTGAGCTAAATGTATAAGTACCATAGTACCATCATGGCGCAAGAACGCCTTCAATGACCCTCGCAGGTGTAATTAATGGGCCCAGATTTAATCAAAAACCTTCACTTACTGAAATTAGCCATCTCCCCAGACTATGTTTTAAATATATCTCGCGATAAAAACGCAGTTATCCCCACATCTTGATTCCCCTTGGGTTTCTCGAGATTCTGACAGACTGATTTGCCCTTTTCTGGATTAGTGCAATACATGAAGAAACGGAATGAAGCATCTGATGGAAGATGACACGATGAAGTTCAACAGCTCTCAAATTCGTTCGATTGAGAGTCGCCGTTGTGTTCTTCCCCGTAACGATTATGGAATGCAAATATTTGAGGAGGACTTTCCCTTCCATTGACAGGTATGTGAAGTGGAGGAGAGGAGTAAAATATTCAATACATACCTCTGTATTGTGTCTTCACTTGAATAGGTGGCGAGATAGGGGTGGGCCCGTTTGTGGTGTAAGCCTGGACCATGACGGTATAGACTGTCAATGGGGCCAAGCCGGAGATTATGGTTATCCCTCCCCAATCACGGTTGGCAATATCCACTTGACTGGACCACTCTTCGATACCCAGGTCGGGGTTGCTCGTGTAGTACACCTTGTAGGCCTAGCATTCGGGGAGGGAAAAAGGATAAGTCATCTATAACTCAATTAGCCCAATTTCAGTGGAAGCTTCATCCCCCTGTAAATAAAGTCGACATAGATTAGATGTTATGTATTTCTGAGGATAGCCCGTTCCTAACCTGGCATTCCTTGCATACAAAAATATGCCAACTTTTGGCCATTGCATATCTATGAAAATTATGGATTAGAGGTTACAATGCGATATATCATGGGTGGCTAACCCACGACTCGAATACCCTTCGGGGCTCTCAGGCAGTTCAAATGTGGCTCGCGGTGAAATGCGAATCTGGAATTTACACATGCATGTGCAAAGTGGTGTGTGCCTTGTGGCTCTCGGCCATGTGAGAAAGTTTGGCCACCCCTGCTATATTGTACATGTTATTATTATAATATCCCTCCCACCTTCAAGAACCTTCTTAATTTCGACACTAAGAAGCTCTAACTATTGGCACCTTCAAGAGGGAATGACCACCAAACCGTTATGTTTCATTACCATATTCTCCCCGTTTCCCCGCTTTTTCGGAGGGAGTTATGCAATTTTCCATAAACAAAAATGTCCTTTAAAAAAAATACATTATGTGCAACTGCCTCCGTACGAAGAAAAAGTCACTCTTGTCAGGATGGGCTAACTAAGTAAGATTATTCAGGAATCCATTCGAAAGAAAGGAACGGTAAAACCCGATGAATAGCAATGCTTATTAATATTAGCAGTCATTGGAAATCTCAGTGACAAGAAACAGTCTATACTCATTCCACAATTTTCACAATGGTCGACAAATGTGACTTGTACTTTCCTTGATTCATGATGTCTCGTATTCAGGATGTACGATTCTCGGGTTTTGGGGCAGATTTTTCATTTAACTCTTTCCTCATGATGTCACACCAAGACAGGGAAAATCATATTGTTAAGCATTCACATGTACGGTCCTATCATGTATGGTATGATACAAGAACGGGACTACTATCCAAATGTTGAACGATGTGGTACCTGGAAAATCAACGCGTAAATCTATGTAGAAATCTAAGTAGTGGTCCTGAAAGCATTGCCACCATATTCCACATAGTTGCATGCATTGTTTTAAAAAAAAACTCTATGTTAACCCTTGCATTATGTATCTGTGAAAACACTTCGGTAAAATACGTACTCTGAAACGCCAATTTTAGGAATCTGATTGAACCCCGAGTGAAAATCATTTACAATGAAGACCAATTTTAGAGGAAATCTCTCTCTTCCTTCTTGTGAATCTTTTCATGAAGAGACGTGCTTAGAATTTTTATCTTTACCCAACTCTCATAAATTAAGGCTCTCACCGTCGCTCTCGGAGTGCTGGTGGTGGAGTATTGGTAGTGGCCATGATTCCTGTTGGCATTGGCTTTTATTTCAGGCTTTGCCCACCGGATCAGCAAACTAGTCTGGCTCAGATATTTGGCCTTCACATGCGTCGGAGATGACTTTGGCACTACAAATGATATTATTATCTTCATTATCATGTTAAGCGATGACTTATTCGTTCGTTCATGAGAGAATTATTTATAAAACCTCATTAATCATTCTCATATCTTTCTCCTGTATGATTTTGAAACTAAGGATAGAGCTAACCTTCGGCTCGGAGCATGGCCAGTCCCTGTCGTGGTTCTTTGGCTCATTATTGAGAGCATTTCTCACAATGAACGCGCGATTTTTGCAGCAAAACGTATGGAGAAATAACGAGCGATTCTGCGCTGTCATGAACAATGAAATTGCTGCTTTCACCCAATGAAAAATTGTGACCCAACAATGAGGTTGATGAATTTTCTTTATCTTCAGTTCGAGTGAGGTAATAAAATATAACATTTTATTGAATCTTCAACTTATCCTGGTCACAAGTATACAGAATGCACACAAATTTTCCTGATTCGCTTGTAGAGGTACAGGAAAACTTTATGGATTGACATTCTGGTAGGCTTTCTAAAGCTGAAGTCATCTCAATTAGGGAATTGTACTCTTTTGAAAGTAGATAAAATCTCAGACTCCATAGTCAAGGGAAGGACATGCTCCAATAAGCCATCATGTAAGTGGTTCGAGTTTTCCTCACAATTCACATTAGAAACGTGATTTATGAAAGGTACCATTCTAGTATGATGTATACTCATACATACCTCTTCAGTTAATCTGTCACTTGTTGGTTAAATCACAATTGTCAATAAATGCAGTATAGTGGATGTAGTGAGGCAACAAAGATTGGCCCGATTTACTCACAAATACATTTCGTATTAAACATATTGGTGAAATTAAATCGGCACAAGACTTCCACACCGAACTGAATATCACAGAGCCCATTTGGTTCGCTTTGACTTCCATGCATAGGGGACGAGGACATTTTGTGCACTAAAGCTTTCAATACAATACTTGAAAGAAGCCAAGGAGTGAGGAAAGACAAACGTACCCGTTCCTTTGGTGGTGGCATAGATCTGTTTAGACACAGGACCTCTGCCGAGAAGATTTACGGCCAATACGTGAAACTCATATTCCTTGCTACTGTTCAGATTTTTGATGGTGTATTGGTTCTCGGTGATGTCGGAAATCTCAAAGAGGTCCTGCTTACCATGATGGGTTGGCCATGATGGGTTATGCGGCTTGTATAGCACCATGTAATACATGATGTGACTTGGTTTTGAGGATGTGTATACATGAGGAGAAAGAGGATAATACCATTCCAGCCTCAGTGAAGAGTCCGTCACCTCACTAACCCTCAAGTCAAAGGGTGCATGGGGCAAGTCCTGAACGGTTATCAGCATCGTCCGCTCGATCCGATCTTGTTCCTTGCTCTTTGCCACGCATGTATAATTTCCGGACACTTGAACATTCTTCAATTGAAGGAGATTCCCCACAATAGTAGTAGAGTTGGAGTTACCCCCAGACATCCTTTCCGGTTGGATCCATTCTGCACCCGGGATCGAGGAATCTACTGTCACACACGTCACATTTAAGTCATCACCTTTTCTCACCACCTTTGAGCCTTCGACCTCCATTTGGAACTTCAGCTGCTTGGGATCCTCTGGTGCAAGAGACAATATTAAATATTATGTACTCTTGATAACGAATCTGTGTCTAACGCTCAGGGGTAGATATACAAGAATGCATTTACCCTATACCTTTCTCGACCATATTTTTATTTCATGGAGTGATGGAGTAGCGTCTACAGGATTTACATCGATTCATAATTGCGCGGATCTCGGAAGGACGTCGGCAAAGAGTAACATCGACAGAAATAGTTTAAGCAGTATTAGGGGTTTCATTTCTCTTCAGGAAACGAGTCGACAAGGAATAACATCGAGAGGGACAATCCCTTAGGAAAAAAGGTGCTAGGGTACGACAACAGGGCAGGAATGAGCTTCGCAAATGAATAAGTAGAAGGGGAACTTTAGTTCTTCGCTTTTCCACGAGAAATCGAGAGAAGGCTTTCCGTTAGACGATAGTTTTAAAAGAGACTCATGAATGTACTGCTTTTCATTACATGAATCGTATTGATTTTGCTCATACCATTTGTGTCTACTTTTGTGTCTTTTAAGGCCCATATTAACTTCCCAATGCCTATATTACAATATGCCGGCTATTTTCTAGACACGAGATGACAGCTTACTCTTTGTCGCTGCTTTGCTGAAAGACTGAAAACGACAGAGATACCCCTGTAATAATGCTTAATAGACTCACCGATGCTAGAGGACTTCAAAACGGAGACACACTGGAGAAGCAAGACCACCCTTGCCCAAAGAACCATTGCGGACTCCTTCAAGTTTGACGAGTTGCTGCGAGACAAGGACAATGCAAAATGCATCATATTGACTATGGTTGTTCTGTTGCTCACTCTTCCTTGTCCTGCATTTTCTAGGAAAACTTCAAAACTTTATTACAGTTTTTCACAATTGCTAAAGTCCGTCTCTCGAAACTATACTTGTTTTCAAAACTATTTGAACAAATCCCAAAACTCTGCAAACTTTTCACTAAAATTAACATCCAATTTCATTGCTAGCGTACGAAAAGCGAAACACGATTTTAATATATTTACATACCTTTTTCGAAACCTAACGTACGACGTAAGAGAAATGTCCTCATTGTATTGGCACGCGAAAATCATCGGCCAGATATAGCGCCATCCATTCTATTTAAAATTTTCATACGGAATACGTGCCAAACGTGCTTCACCGAAACATATTTTCCAATAGAACACATTGCTGGTATCCTTTAGAACGAATTTATGGCACTCGAGTCAAAACTTAACGTCATTGCCTCAAAAAGTAACGTACGCTTCATTGTTTGACATTGGGGAGGTTCCCGTCGATTTCACCAGGTACGGCTGACAGGGCGGGCATCGATCCGCGAGATCGTTGCCTTCCCATTCATTTTAATGAATTGTCTTGAGAGTTTTGCCGAAGGTATATTAAGTTTTGACTCCAGGTACGTTAGAAATTGATCGTAGGACGTTCTGTTTCGACTTTTGGGGAGCGGAAATCGAATCTTGACGACAGTACGTACGGTTTTGGCATGAGTACGTAAGGTTTTGAGTCATCATTAATCGAGAAATCACAGAGATGGGAGCATTGTACATTGCCCTAGCCTGATCTATAATTGCGAGAAGCTCACATAGTTTTCCCGATCCCGTACGTCCTACATGGAGTCTCAATGGTGAAACTGAAGTGGATTATGAAAATACTTGAAATATTAAGCTCGAAAAAAAAGAGAAACCCATGTCTGGACTTCAGAAGTCTTCGTGACCTAAGAATTCGTGACCGATGTGAAACCTAATAATTTTTACCTCTCGTTATAAACATGTGTCTATTGGGGCTTACAATTCCTTATATTGTTTGTTCCCTCTCAAAAAACTCAGTAGCAGCTCCAGGATGACAGGTCAAAAGAGGGGAAAAGCCATTATATTCTCATAAACCCACCTGGGATGCTTGAGTGCTAGTTTACGGCAGGGGGGAAAAGAGACATTCGTGGAAGGACAGGGTTGTCATATGTTCAAGTCTTGTGATTTCTTTTTACTTCAGACGTCCAGGGAGGCTCGTATTTAATTTCTAAAACACTGACTTGTCACCTGAATTTGAACGAACTTGGACTCACCGACAACCCCGGCCACCTCCTTTGCCGTATTTGATGAGGTCCCAATTAGCACCTGGTAAAAATCCCCATACCTTCTGTGTCGGAAAATTCTCCGGTCTCATCCATCAAATCTTTTGTTTGGCAGCTAGTGCGTTTTTCAACAGTGAATGAACTATAGTGGATTTCCTTTCATTTCCATACAAGAAGCAGTGACATACACGTGTATATTATATATTTATGGTTCAGGAGAGTTGGAGTTTTCCCCTCAGTCACACATTATCCTATTCTTATTCTCTTTCTGTATGATACATAAGCGAGAAATCTATGACAAGAAGGAATACTAAAGGTCCCGAACTATGCAGTTTATCGCATGACGTTAATTTGAGTTTAACAAATAAGAGAAACCGGCTGAAGGGACTCTTTCTGCTTCTATTCCGGCCTCCTAAAGGGATATTGCAACCGGAATGCATATTGAGATTAGGGGAATCTTCTGAAGAATTATTTTCACTGTCTCTTCTTGACTGTCTATAGGCATTCCTTACCTCGTACGTTAGAATATTGAAGAGCGTAATTTGATTTTGATAAAGGGACGCACTTTTGAATGTCGGATGCATGGATGTGAGAAAAGAGCGCAGAGTTTTGCGGATCGTACGTTAAGTTTTGAAAAATGTCCAATATGAAATAGGGCTCCAGCAATTGGGAAAAACGGTGAATGCATGGGTGAACGGAAGTGTGACTTTAGCCGCTGCTCTGTCTTTGAAATTGAAATCAGACACGTAATCCATTCCCCCAAAAGTTAGCCTTTCTGCTCAGTAAAAACTTTCTGGCTTCCAGGAGCACCTGAGGCACATGAAAGAATGCCTCACATACTTCACTTGCATCACACATTCAGAAACGCGTTCACGTGCATTCTTCGATTCGCTTTTCGGTGCTTAGGAATAAACTTTTTTTTCTAGTGTTTGCATCTGTCTGCCAAGGTGAAGCTTTCGATGGAGCTGGCAGGAATTCTAATGCGTTAAGCCATTCCAAAGTCGCCCCACAACTGATAATTCACGGCCTTCACTTCAAGATCAAGGAAAAGGAAAAGCTGCAGCTTTTCATCCTAAGATAAACCACAAAGAAACGCTTATTTTTCCTTCTTAATCTGACCATCAGGATGCATTCCTTTCCTGCAATTCCAATATTGAAATTATTGCAATGTGATTTTGCACTATGCAAGGTACCGTTTTCTCCTGTGACTGGATCTTTGGTTCTTTGAATTGTACTTCGTAATCGTATCGAAGAAACATGTAAAACAAAACGGTTCTTCCTGCATATATCATAGATCGCACTCGTAGCGGGAACAAAAATTACGAATTCCTGATTATTTCCTGATCTGAGACTTTCTGGTGAGGCCAATTTGAAGGACACACATGTGAAGCTCAAATAATATAGATATTCTATGTCCTCGTTTGCCACATCCTGAAACGCAATCTCCGTACATCTTCAGTGCTATCAGCTGTCACGATCGTCACAATCGACTTTATGCCTCCGGATTGCGATTCCGTTTGAATGGGAGGAAGCAGATTTCTGGGTTGTTAGAAGCCCATCATTGAGAGTGGTTCGAGGAATCCCATATTTCATTGATACTTCTGTGATTGTCATTTTTCAAGCATTTTTTCCAATGCTGCTTTGAGGGCATTTTGGTCGTAGGTACCAATTTTGAATTTTTCCTGTCCCTCACCCCGTCCTTTCCGATTAACTTTGGTCATCCTAAGCCTATATTTTTTTGGACTGTGCTGAATTGGAGTTTCCGCGAATAATATTTTTCCTCGTACGCCTCTTGCCTGCCCGAGTTGGAAATTCTAGATATTCCCATATTTGAATGTCAAAAAGCCCTGCAATGGAAAGATGACCAAGAGTACGGTGGGTAGGTCATTTATAGAAAAACATGAGGTGGATCGTCAAATCGGTAATGAATAGACGATGTGGGGCTCCATCCACGATGGACAAGGATCACGCAGCGAAAATCCATATCGCAACGCGATTCTTTCTCCTCTTACGGAATCGTCGGGCGACCTCCCTCTGCCCTCGTTTCCCCAACCTGTAATTTCTTCTACCTCGTTTACAACCAAAATTTAGATTTACCTCGAGGTCATATCCAAAAATTGTAGGTCCAGGATGCGTGAATGACAAATGACACTCGTCTGACCCCACCTCGTTAGACGTGATTTGATATAATTTCGGGAGAAGTGGAAATCCAACAATAAACCGTACTCATATTTTCTCTACCGAAGGTGAAGCTGGATCAGTATCACAGAGGTTGAATGCTAACGCGATGAACCTTTGTTAGCCACGTCTGAGTCACGTCGACTCGCCATGCGTTCTTCGCATCGCATCGCACGACTACCCGAAACAGTTAGATATCGCTCGATGATGCTTTGCCCCAGTTTTTCATGAACTAGATCAAGTGAAATGCTCAAAGTAATGGTCCCGTCCTCTTCGTGATTCTCGGTTAGGTTCATTGGCATTTTGGTTTAAAGCATGTTGTCAGGGTGGGCCCTTAGCGTCAAGCAAATGAATATAACAGTAAAACATCAAAACTTGTGTAACATTGTGACTAAGAGGCATGAGTGAATCGAACGATTGCGATGGCGACAATCCAAAAGCAACACTCCGAGAATGACATTGACAAACGACAGCACGACGCAATGTCTTCTGCGTCACCTCAGTCGCAATCGAGCTCCTAAACATTCGAAGGACATTCCCGCTTGGATGAAACCCCTTCCTAAACCTTCTTAATCCACCCTGCGTTGCTAGGCAGGCTCTCTCTCCTCTCGTCTGAGAATGCCACGGCTTTTAATGAGCTGCAGGAGATAGAGTGGCAGAATCGTATGAAGATCATCTGATGCGCCGGGCAGCTCCTTCCACCCGTTCAATAATTTTACAAAGTTCACCAATAAGAGTCTTCTGAGAGAGTCCAGAAGTGGTGATTACTAAGCAAGGTTTCGTATCGGAGCAAGGACAGACATCCATAACGCATCTCAGTTGGGGATGAACCAAGCCAATTAATATTTTGAGAATGAATTTCAAAAAGAAAGTCAGATAGGCACCAGAGAAAATATTCAGTCTGCGACAGTTCTTTTCAGGGGACTCGACATGCAGACTTTTTTCTTGTCATTGATGAACTGCACGCAGAGATCGAAGTTGACATTACATTTACGACGACTACGTTTACGCATCTATCCATAATAAACAGACATCCTGCCAATTCATTCCAACTGCACTCAAGGTCGAACTACAAAGCAGCACGGGTCCGTCATGCTCCTTGCCGATGGCCTGATGAAATTGCCTTCTCTCAGTGACTCCCATCGTTTCAGGAGAGTGATTTTTGCTGACTTTCGAAAAACCATTCAACTTCCTTACGGAAAGGAGGCACAGACTGCCGTCTCGATAGAACCCGAATCGATCCGCCATAAACCCTGACAATAGCTCTAAAATTAGAATGTTGTTCCCAACTTTCTGCGTTTCGCGCCCCAGCATTTCGCGATTTCAGAGCTGTGTTGTTGCGAGTACTGAGGGAATACTTCTTGGTCTCTATGTCCTCCAGTTAAAAATCAAGAGCCATCCATGACTCCCCAATTGCATTATCATCATCGCTCCGCCCCATCAACCATCCTCATCAATTTCTTCATCAGCCATCGAATTCAACTGGTGGATTTAACGAAAGCTGCTCATCTTGGGAACGCCGTATTGGTCTTTAATTTCGCGGAATCCACATTGCCAGCGAGATTTGGACATTGTGTGAGCATGAAATAAAATTTATTTTGACCCACTCAGGTCATGACACTGAAATACTAAAATCGTCGCACGGAGTGACTCATGTGGCCATTCACTTCGGGAATTATGGTCTTTACATTCGAAATTTTTGGAAATTGGATGTATAATATTCAGGAGAATTGAAAGAAAGATTTAGTTTAGTAAGAGGCCTCAAGGCCTTGGATGGTAATATGATACGATTTTCTCCTTTCGCCTTACATAATCCCCAGTCAGAATGCATTCGATGCAATTTCATCTACTTAAGATAGAGTAATCACATAACAAAAAGTTCATGAAATAATGGAACATTCTCCAACTCATATCGATGCCGTTATGACCTTAATGAGTTTTAACAATCGGCTCTAAAATAATTTTCCGCAATGAACCTATATAGGTTTTCAAATACATGGCTTGATCTTGAACTGATTATATTCAGGAATCAAAGTCCAAGAAGGAGATACTTGAGAAAATATACCTCCTCTCTGCTTGGGAGCAAAGACCTTGAGTAGGCCTATATACTGATGACTCATCATCGCCTTTTACGGAGTCTTCTCTCCATCTTGCTTCCGAATACGCACTATCCCGCTGGTGATCAAAATATAGGGTGTCCATTAAGTATGGGCACCTATGGGCAACATTTTCCATTTTCCATACTATATCTGAGGGAACCAACTTTTTTATTTTTGTAAGTTGTTAATCATTAGACCTCGGAATGGTGTCGCATCTTTTCTTCTACATTCTAATGTGACAGAGTTTATTTACCAAACCCTTGTTTCATTTACAAGTTCAGACACGGAATGCAGCATTCCGAATTGTCAGCCAGAGCAAATGGCCTCCACGAACTCTGGATTTTGACCCATTCTGAATTTCTTTTCTCTGGGGCTACTAAAGAGGTATTGTTTATGAGGACAAGCCCACAGACGTGAACAACGTGAAAGAGAATATCTCTCGTGGAATGTGCCAGAAAAGTGATAGAATTCTCATGGATTTTGCCGACAATGCAATTGCCAGGGCTTAGAAATGTCTGGAAGTCGGCGGTCGACACATTGAGACAACTTATCCAATGAATTTCTGATTACCAAAACGTTCTATTATTCAATGAATAACGTAATTGCTTCAAGAAGTTGTTGCAATAAGGTCGAACGGAAAAATTTTCCTCACATCGTTTTCTGAATTATCTTCTCCATTCAAATGAATCATAAAGCACCAGATGTGAGAAATTATATATCGGCCGATCGGAGAAATTATATAATGTGGAAGGAGAAAAGATCTGACGCTATTCTGAAGTCAGTACGTTGTCAGCCTACAAAAGTTTTAAAAAATG